CGGGGGCAACACTGAGGGTTGCGATCCGTTGCCGGACACGGAAAAAGACAAAAGACAAAAAAAAAAAATTGAAGAGACGGAGGAGTGACAATTGACTCAGGGGAGAAAACGAACTGGAAGTAAGCTATTTGCTGTATAGAATTCCAGAAATGACAAGGCCCTGGGAATGTTCACGAGGAGCTATGGAGGCAGAGTAAGTGATGGGGCTGAAAACAGAGGATTAGATAGAAAACAGTATGTAAGTATATCAGGAGATACTCCCCCAACACATATGCTTTTATGCATATGTGCACACGTGGTTGCACCCAGAAGATTACTGCCCCTCCCACCTCTCCTAGTCTTTGAAGAAGTTCAATGGCACCAGAGAAAAAGAGCTATAAAATATCGACATTTGAATGCTGCTCTAATGAAAAGCCTGTATCATCAAATGAAAAGTCATGTTCGTGTACAAAGACCTTCTGAGTGATTCTCAAATAATAGACAGGCAACAACCACAGATAAGTGTGGAAAATCTCCTAACTGAAAGTGAGAGCTTAGAAAATCAAAAAGGAAGGGCCGGCCCGGTGGCGCACTGGATAAGTGCGCTGCTTGGGAAGCGTGGCGGCGCTCCCGCCCGAGGGTTCGGATCCCACATACGGACCGGTTCCCGCTCACTGGCTGAGCGAGGCGCGGGAGCGACCCCGAGGGTTGCGATCCCGTTGCCGGTCCCCAGTCCGGTGCGGGGGCAACACTGAGGGTTGCGATCCGTTGCCGGACACGGAAAAAGACAAAAGACAAAAAAAAAAAAAATAAATAAAAATAAAAATAAAAAAAAAAGAAAAAAAAAAAAAAGAAAATCAAAAAGGAAGAAACAAAGCAATGCACGGAGCAGAAGTCACAACTAAACAATAATTTATGTCCTTATAGTAAAAAGAGAAAATATAGAAGCTATTAAACAAAATAGAATGCTTTAACACATGAACATCAGAGAACACAAAATAGTTCTTTGAATTAAAAAACTAGGATGGCTGAAATAAAAATCAGTAGGAAGGCTAGAAGATAAAATCAAGGATTTCTTCCATAAAAACAAAAGATTTAAAAAACTGGAATATAAGAAAGACTAGAATTAAATTAGGATTTGTCAGGAGGTTTAAGTTCAAAGGTAATAGCGGTTCCAGAAGAAGAGAACAGGAAAAATGAAGAGGAAATTGTCAAAGCAATAATACAAGAAAATCACAGAACCTTTAGACATGAATTTCCATATTGAAAGGGCCCTTTAGCACCTAGCACGATCAATGAAAAAATGCCCACAGCAAAACTTGTTACTGTGAAAATTCCACACAAGGGATAAAGAGAAGATCATGAAAGTTTTCAGACAGGGAAAAAAAGAGGTACAAAAGGCATGACGGTCAGAATGTAAGACTAGAGACTTGGGAAGGTTAAGACACAGGACCTTAGTATCACTTGACTTCTAAAACAATGCACAGGAATTTTCATAAATACTAAGCAATAATAAGTAAGTAAATAAATGAATAAAGTAAAAAAATAAATTTATTGAATGCTCACTACCCAGAAGTACCATTCTATTTTAAATATAACTCATTTTACTCTCATAAAACCCAGTGAAACTATTGACCTCATTTAGAGATGAGGAAACAGGCATTGAGAGGCTAAGTAATTTGTCCAACATAACACAACTAGTAAGTGGTGGAGCCAGATTCTAACTTTGAGTGTGGTCTTTTAAAAACTGCATGATACTGTCTCTCAACTTTAAAAGTAAAATTAGTTTTAAAAAAGGAGAAAACACCATTTGAATATTCTCTACCTTATTAACCTGTTCTCAGATCAACTACGGTTAATTAAAAGTTACAACTTGGTCAATTAGGACACGAGATTAATGCCATTCTACTTCCTAAGCCACAAAGTGTACAAGTGCATGTGCACACGCAGTGTGTGTGTGGGGGGGGGGGGTGCGGGGCGGGGGTAAAGATTGAGAGTATTTGCTAGTATTTTATGGATTCCTTGTATAAAAGTACTTTAGTTGTGTGCTTGTGATTTGCTGCTAGAAGATTCAAAAGGAGATTCCCTAACCTAAATGCTTCAACAACCTCTACGAAAGAACTGAAGCACTTACATGGGATCACTACTATGTTTTTAGGCACAGAATAAAGGTTATATAAAGTTAACAAAAGCATAGCTGCCTCTTTTCTAAGCTATTTTCATCTAAACCTTTCACACTCTTCTAGTCTTGCAAAGAAAATTTCACTAAACAATGAATGTTCCTAGTCATTTACAGGACTATTCATTAAATATAATTCTGTGAAGAAAAACACCATGACCTTACTCACTCTTACCTTACACTCATCTTTTTATACACTCATCATTGCTTTACATTCTTTATTTTTATTATCAACTACGTAATGAGACGAACATTTTCATGTGATGTTCCTCTGTAGGAGTTAGATTCATTCACAGTTTTCTACCTTTGCTGTCCCATGCATCTTCTGATTTACTGTACCTACTTAAGGGATTCTGGCTTTACTTGGGGGCAGGGTGGAGAAACATACTTTTTTAGAATATACATTTTTTCTTTTCCAATCTGGTAACATCTTCATTCCTTCTGACCTATGATAAGGAGGCTACACAGGTTTAGCATTTCCTCTCCTGAGGCTAATAAATTAGTGTACGGAAATACACTAATTGATATGGGTTGAATGTCGTCGCCTCCAAAGCTCATGTGGGGATTTGATTCCCAGTGTGGCAGTGTTGAAATGTGGGGCCTTTCAGCGGTTATTGGATCCTGAGGACTATGCTCTCATGAATGGATTAATCCATTCTTGGACTAATAGGTTAATGGTTTTATGCGTTATCCTGGGTGTGGACTGGTGATTTTATAAGAAGAGCAAGTGAGCACATTAACCACTATATTTCTCCTCCTCGCCATCTGATGTGCTGCATCACCACGGGACCCTGTATAGTCTCCACCAAAAAGACCCTCACCAGATACACCCCGTGGACCTTGGACATCCCAGCCTCCAAAACTCTAAGAAATACATTTCATTTCTTTATAAATTACCCAGTTTCAGGTACTCTGTTACAAGCAACAGCAACCTGACTAATACATAATATAGCGACTTTTGAGACCTCAGACCACTGCTTCAAAACTCATCCTACTGAACTGGACCTCCAGTCTGGGGGTTCAGGCTCACACACGCAGCCCTCCACCTTCTGCCTGTCATGTCCTTCATTTCTGAGTCATTCTGGGGTTATGTGTGGGGGGCTGGTTGATAGACGGTAGCTGTAGCAACCTTTAAGGTCCTGATGCATCAATGACAGCATCACCTACGTCTTCCCAACACCTGGATGAATGAACCCAGGCTGCCTGACCTAAAAGGTCTCAGTTTGGCTTACAGGAGGTTCCCCATCGCGGCCACAGAGCTCACGTTGTTTCCGCAACCTCCAACGTCCGGTGTCACGGTGGCCCGCAGTCTCAGGCGCACCCTATACGGCCGTCACACCTTCCCTCCCCACGCGCAGGTGAGACACCTGGCAGCCCAGGCCTCCGGGGTCACCTGCTGGCCGGCCCGGGCGCGCGCACGCGCTCACGCACATACCGTCTCCTTGGCAGCCGCGACCGGGATGGGGAGCAGCCCCCGGCCGCGGGACGGGTCCTCGGGCTCTGCGGCCTCGCTGCCGGGCGCCCGTGCGGAGTCGGCCCTGGGGTCCCCATAGAGCTGGTAGCACACGAGGCCGACGAGACCCCCGCCGGCCGCCGCCGCGATGCTCAGCTCTCCCCAGCGCCGCCGCCGCCTCCACGCCGCCTCAGCCACGGCCCCCTCCTCATCCTCCCGGCAGGAGAAGGGCCGGCCCGGAGGGCCTAGGGTGGTCCCAGCAGGCCGCCCCCAGGGCCCAAGAAAGGGCTGGTGAGGGGGCAGCGGAGGCTGCAGCCGAAGCGGCGGCCACAGGAGCCTCCGCAGCGCAGCCATAGCGGGAGCTGCCCGCTGGGGAGCTGGGAGAGGGCGGGGGGCGGCGAAACCTCGCGAGAAGTCGGTGCGGCGAGCTTCGCTGCTGTTCCAGAGCGACCCCTGCGATCGCGCGGCCCCGGGACCCTGAGGGCGGGCTGCAGCGAGGGACTCGGGGGGCTCGGCCGTGGGAGGGCGTGGAAGAAGCGGCGGGTCCCAGCTGCTCCTGGCCCCGTGGCCCCCCAGCCCGACCGCGCAGTCATAAATAACCGTGTGGGCTCCCGGCGACACCTGGCTGCGCGAGAACGCGACACCGCAGGGCACAGCCCGGTCAGCGGAGCCTCGAGGGGCCCTCGGGGTGTGCGGAGTGTCCCCGCGCTCCTGCGCTCGGTGGGCCCCTCGCCTCTGCTCTGCGGGGGTGGGTCTCGGAGCGTTGTCACCTCCCCTAACGGAGCCCTGCTCTTCTGACACAAGGTCGTGGATAACTTGCAGTTGTGTCTTCACATGCACAACGAAAATGAGGCATGGAAATTTGGTTCAAATTATAAAGGTTACGAATTAAGTCAAAGAATGTTTTGACTAAGATTAGTAGATTCTGGCAATGTTTATGCTTTCAGAGGCAACCAGAATGAGTTTTTCTGGCCCAGATTGTGCTATGTCTGTTCTTCATTAGCCTCTTGCCTGTAGTTAGCCTGTCAGATACACCACGTTCCATTTGGTATAATACAGGTTAATGGAATTTTGCTTTCTCACAGCTGCTGAAAGTGGTAAAAAGAAAAATCTATAACATATGAGCACAACGTGTCTATTTTAGGATGCCATCTCTGTGTTTGTTTGTTTTTTCACTTTCACCCTGTTGGTTTTATGTCATCAGTGCCGTAAGGAAGGTTCAGTGGTAGCTCCTTGCTTTATCACCAAGTTTCCTTCAATTTCTGCCTCCTCTGAATTCTGGAAAATTTTAGTTTTCCCAAAGCATTTATTTTGACATTGTTTACTTTGAACTGAATACAATTTCCTGATTTTCTCATACATTTCCAACATGGCCCAATGCCAGACTTCTTGGACAGACTGATGAATTTTTATTAGTTGCATGTAAAAAACTGAGTAGCTCTAAAGAGAATTAGGAAGGTAATACAATAACATCATATTACAGATGAGGAAAATGACAGAGAAATTCTCCATCTAAGATGACCTTAAGTACACACACACGCACACGTATATAGATACCTACATCTATATTTCTAATTTAATTCTACCTAATTTCTCTCTAGTTTTAGTAAATTCGATGCAGCTCTTGCAAGTAATTTGTCTAAGAGAGGTGCTGGGTGTAGGTTTGTAGAGTACCCAGAGAGCTATGGATAAAATGTCTCTCTATGAATAAATTTATTCTAATTATAACTTTGCACAGTATCTTCCCTCTAAAAGCCAAATTTCCTTAATAATAGTTTTCTCCCCATGCTTGAGACTTTGTAACTATAGCTACAAAAAAATAACTAAATTCGTTTGTACGTGGATGTTTAATTCTCAGAGAAAAAATTATAAGAAAACATAATGTTAGAAATTTAGAACCATTTTTGAAGTTTTAGATAATATTGTTGGATCAATATAGAGTCAGTCCAATTTATGTCAATTCTATTGAGCATTGATAATATCCAAAAAAGCCCCTCCTCCACCGTGAGATCCCACACCTTCTAAGAAATATTCACTTATGTTCACTACAGTCTAAGTAAAAACAAATGTTCTGAAACATTAAGAAAATTTTGAAACAGCAGGGAGTAAGACAAAAAGGGTTTTCCAGGAAAGTATATATCTGTGTATAGGCATCAAATTAGAACTCAAGAAATCGGGAGTGTAGTCTTGGTTTTGCTACACCTTAATTACATGCTTTTGAGGCCACAATGGGGTTGAATAGGTGATCGTCTTCTGAACCCATGGTTCTAATTAAGCAGAATGCTCCATGCATATCAGCAAGCCAAGTATAGATACTTCATGGCACTTTCATTTGTCATTTGTCTTCTCAAAATCTACAATTGGCCTATGATTGCTTTATTCTTTCAACTTAAAATTCCATCTCCTGAACTAATTATTTTAAGCTTTTACTGTTTTTTAAATTGCAAATAAATTAGTGACTTTTAAATTTTGAAAATGTAAAATTTAAGTGTAATAGGCAGAAATGTCTTGTTCAACACAACTTCTATTAAAATATGCTGCTTGCCTTATTTTGCTCACTCTGAGCTCTAGAATCTTGACTAGTTAAAAGAGGAGCAGTTACATCTGAGACCCTACATCAGGGCACATGAATCCCCCACTCCCATGTCCATTCAATTCCGACAGAAGGAGTCAACCAGCCAAAAGGCAAGCCTGCAGCAATCTCCTTCTCTCTTGGGAAAGTTGTTATAAACATTGCCCCCACCTTCGGTGCTGTCTTCCTTAGGGGATAATTGGCAAAATCAAAGGAGTAAGTGGTAGGGAAGGTGTGTTCTGTGGGGTCACAACCCTTTCTTGGTCTTTTGTCTTCAGAGTGCTAACCATCAGGAGTCTGGAGCTCAATTCCGTAGGAAACCGAGTTACCCATGGCACCAAGTGTCTGTTTTCTATTTTGACTAGCTCCCACTCCCAAAGGTGATGATTTGCACCCCACTCTTTTCCTTTAGCCAAAGCTAAGCTGTGTCTAAGCAGCATGAAGCCAGAGCATGCATCTAGCCCAGCTCCTGGCACATAGTAGGACCTCAGTAATGTTTATTAAATAAAGGGAATTTATTATTCTTGTGGAGGGGGGTGGAGGCCAAGATAGGAAGGCAAATCAGGAGACAAGGAAATACAGTGGCTTGTCAGACACTAGTGAAGCTGATACATGCAGCACACTTGGAAAATCAGTCAACACAAATGGGAGAGCAAAAGGGGAAGGCAAGGGGATGGCAAGGAGGGATCGGAGACAGAATGTGATCATGGAGAAGGTTGGTTCAGGAACCCATTGTGTGCTTTTGAGATTCTATTACGGAGGCTATCCTCTTACATATTATTTGCAGGGTCCTGTTGGACTAGAACTTAAAGCCTGTTGTGGCTTCCACCAGAAGCTCTGTTCTTTTGGTCCTCAGAGGAATTCCAGCATGATCTGTGGCCAAAGTTCAGTGGCTTGACTGTCCACATCTCCTTTTTTTTTTTTTTTTTTTTTGGGGGCGGCCAAAAGGGGGAGAAAACCCCTCCCCCTCGTGATCCCTTTTTTTTTTTTTTTTTTTTGGGGGCGGCCAAAAGGGGGAGAAAACCCCTCCCCCTCGTGATCCCTTTTTTTTTTTTTTTTTTTTGGGGGCGGCCAAAAGGGGGAGAAAACCCCTCCCCCTCGTGATCCCTTTTTTTTTTTTTTTTTTTTGTGGCTGGCCGATACAGGGATCAGAACCCTTGACCTTGACATGTCCCTTTTTGGTCTTTCATATATCACTGGTGACAGCAACCGAGCTGTCAGTTATACATATTTAACCAGTAACACTCTCACTTTTACTATTACATCTATCCAGTTTATTTTATATAATTTTCAGGGTCTTTGCTGACAGTCTCACTGTTCAATTGCTATTGTTTAGGTCCCCCAAACCTTTGTGTCTTTGTCGTCTATTTGGTGACAGGGACTTATTATCCTATGTATTTGGGAAACAAGGAATAGCAGCTCAGACTCGCTACCAGCAAAGCCTCATGACTGAAAACAAGTGAGCTCTTTCTCAATTGCTATATCCTGTTTTCATGTTTGATAGTTATTAAAGCTTCTATACCCGTTGAAGGATGTCTTCTGATGAATAATGCCTTAGAGTAACAAAATGATCCTCCATTGCACAAGCATGACACTAAAGTAGCAAAATAAATAATATGATCTTTCTAAAACTGTTGGCAGTATCTCCTAGATTTGAACATATGCATATCCTATGGCCCATCAGTTTCACTCCTGGATGAAATACTCAACAGAAACTAGTATTTATATCCACCAAAAGACATAACTTGTATAGAGGAATATTCATAGCAGCATGATTAGTAACTGACAAAAAACTAGAAACTATTCATATGTACATGAACAGTGGCCTAGACTTTTTAAAAATGTGGTATATTCACACAATTGAATGCTATAAAGCAATGAAAATTACTGAATTGTAACTACATGTAATCATAGGGATGAAATCATAGCATAAAGTTGAGGTCAAAGAAGACAGACACAAAAGAACCAACTGTATTATTCTATTTATAGAGTTCAAAAATGACAACTATATATATGTATACATATATACACACAAAATATGTATACTTAACATGTTAGAAATCAGGATAGTGGTTACCCTGGGTAGACAGTAGTGACTGGAAAGGGGTAAAGGAGACTTCTGGAGTTCTGTGCATGTTCTGTGTCTTCATCTGGGTGCCAATTACACAATGTACTCACTCTGAAAATTCGTAGAGCTGTCTACTTAATGATTTGCATACCCTTTTTGTATCTTACACTTCAATAACAAGTTTGTATAAAATAAATAAATAAATAAATCTTTCTAATGCTCATACTAATGTGTTATGTATTAGAGGGCTTTGCTCAGTTATGAACTATACAACTTAGAAGGAAGGTATATAAAAGTAATAAAATTCATTGAAGAGTTGGAAACTAAAGGGAAAGTTTGATAATCTTGATATAGCCTAAAGAGATTTAACCAAGGAGTAACTTAAACATCTTTTAGTACCTGAATACTCCTAAGAACATATTTATTAGCTATTTTCCTTATTTACTAAGGAAAGACCAAAAGGAGCATGGTATTTTAAGGAAATGCCTAGCGTTTTATCTTTGACTTGTAGCACTTTCTCCTGTGAAATATCCATATGGACAGACCCAATAGGTATCTGGTTGTAAGGCCTAGTGCAACCAGTATATACCCTTGTCTCTGGCTCTAACCCCAGAATATCAGTTGTTGGATGGGAAATTGCTTTAAGGGCTGATAACCAAACAGAAGTACAACCTTCAGAACAGATGGAAAGCTCAGCATAAAGAGGGAACCATTAGAGACATCAAAAATAGCATAAGGTAAGC